TGAGTACGTCTTTGTTTTTGGTGCTTATTGTAACTAAAAGTACCAAATCAATTACCCGTCCTACAATCTGGTTTCTTCCTTATGTAAACTATAAAATTGCTGATGAGAATTTTCTGGTAATAGCGAGGCAAAAAAAATCTAACAGCAAAGGGGATTCAGTTTCTACAGCAAATGCAACATGAGCCGAAGTTGAAATTGACTGGAGATAAGGACATAAGTTGGCGGGAGGAATCTATTCCAAGCTGGGAGTGCGACATTAAAAATCACAACCGCTCGCTCAAACCCAAGAGGCCCGTAGCAATGTGATAGGGATGTGGTTTGAATTGGCAAAAGCTTCAGCCAACCATTTTTCTGCAAATGACTGAAAAGCTAATTATTGTTTTGTTCAGACTATGTCAACTTCATTGAGGAAGGCCTTCATTTGGGCATTTATTCTTCCCTTTGTCCCTAAAAAAATCATATAATTGAGCCTTTTACAGCATGAAACAAACTTCCCAGCCTCAGTAATTTACAAATCTTCACTGATAAAATAAAATACAAAATAGATCAATAAGGCAACACTGTAATCAGTCATCTCCCATGAAAGAGGCTGTTTTCCCACCATATTTAGAAAGTAAACATCTTAACATTTCTGTTTTTTGCATCTTAGAGGGCTAATAATGTCAGCAAAAGCATCCCTCTAACATTTGTCCGTCTGTGTCTCTTTACAAATCTTCTTTTATTTTCATTTAGAAATACTGGGAGTTTGCTTGATTCATTTTTCCCCCCATTTTTAACATTTATTTCATGTCCCAGTAATGAAAACACTACACCTCCAATCACAGACATTAAAGTCTTTGCCATGTCACAGACAGAATAATTCCTGCTAGGCTTTTAATGTGAGAGATCACGAGGAAGTCCTGGTTCAAGAACTTAAGCCTGTTTTCCTGTTGTGTGTTTGTGTAAAGTTTGTTAGCTGGGCGGGTTTTTTGATTAGGACTTTTGAGAATCAAGGGGTAAACAACATCAAACATGAAACTGATGCAAACACCATGTTCAGAAGGAGCCCGTTTTCCCGTCTTTGCCTGTGAAAGCGAACGGTTGAACGGCTTGTTTGTACCCTCGTGTGCCTTTTCTGTCGTAATCCATCAGTCGGTGTGCGTTTTGTGGGCAGCAGGTGGTGTGTGTCACGGCTGACTGGTGCTAGGTGGTGGAGGCAGGTGTCATGTGCACAAGGCCCGAGAGAAGGTTTGTGTGTTGTGAGGTCTGCGCGTGAGATAAGTGATGATGCATGCTGGTGGGGTTGTCGGCTTGAGTCTATTCCTAATTTTTTTTTTCCCCTATCTTTATCCTTTGAGCACACACACACACACACACACCCAGTCAGGTATGTGCTGTAGATAGCTCGCTTTCTAGGAGGACGACTAGTTCTGAGATGAGCAGCAGACCTGAGCTGATAACACAGGTGCTTAAGATGTAAGTGACTAAAATCAGAAATCGGGACTTTGCCATCAGTTTTGCTCAAGCACGACTCTTTTTTCACGACTCATTTTCATTACATATGACTCAAGGATACACTTTCATTTGCTTCCCATAGAGTTCTGGGATTTGCTGTTTTGTTCCCATGGGGTTTAGACTTAAGCTGGTTTTCTTTTTGTTGTCATGTCTCTTTTTTTTTGGCTCTTTCCCTTATAATGGAGAATCTGTGGTCTCAGGAGAGAACTATATAATCTAACGCGCCAAAGCATGCTTTGATTGCATCAAGAAGCATAAATTGTATGTGTTTTTGGCTTTTTTTTTGTTTATAATGTCTTTGTACAACATCTATGACACTATATGCTGCAAATGGGTGATAGCCTAACACCAGCAGCTGCCATCTTGAAGAACAGACCCGTTCATTAAAGCCTTTTTGAGTTACTTTTGAACGTCGGCAGACGGCACCCACAGTGGGTGAGCGGCCATGTTTTCACGTTTGAACGTCCACATTGTGGAAATACACAGCCAGCATCACCACACAATCAGCAATGGCCTTCTGTCACATCCGAATGATCTTTCATGCTGAGCACTTGAATATTCTTCCACATGCCCAATCACAAAATTTGAAATGATCCAATCAAACGGTGGCCAGTGGCACGAAAATAGGATGGATGTAACATTTTGGCTCGGTTTTCCACTTGAGGATGTGTCTAAACAATTTGAAATAAACTATTCCGACCACGGTTTAAACTTTACAGCATATGTGGTCTGGGAGCTCAGCTGTCTTTTCTCTACAATATATGCTGTGACAGCCAAGATATAAACAAGCATTTGGCCAAAATATAGCCAACTTCTTCAGTGTTTTTATGCATCCATGCATTTTCAATACCTGCTTTGTCCAATAGTCAATACTTACTGTGATCCGGAGAAGGGTGAGGTACACTGTGGACGCGTCACCAGGTCAGCAGAGAGGAAAAAATTACACACAACCACCAGGTTTTTGTTTTGCGTTACCAGTGAGAATACATTCAATCTCAGGGAAAACATTCAAACTTCAGAGAGAAAGGTCCTAGCTGAGTTTGACAGTAATTTTGTGGCCAACATTTTCCAATAAAGGGTCAAAATACATACAAAAAGATGAATACAAACACATTCAATGGCCCAAATTTGCATTTCTGCAAATTTGTGAGTGCTAAATGTTGACCAAATTAGGTTTAAATTATTTTTGATACACAATATAGCATTTATTACCAGACACAATCAACAAAAGTAATTGAAAACGTAGAGGTTTTAGCTTTTAGCTACCAGAAATCCTTGTCTGACTAAAAAAAAAACATGACTGTTCTTCTTTCACTTTATAAATGTCAATTCTCTGTAGAGAAACAGACTTGCACAGGCAAAACGGGTTTATTTCAGATTTAGAACATATGGTGATGGTGTAAAACTTTCCACAAATGCTTTCGGTAGCCTTTTGCTTTAAGGACCCTGTCCTCATATGATCTGTTCAATCTATCCTCTTCTCATCTCCTTTCCCCTGTTGCCCCCGTCCAACTGTCGCTCCCTCTGTTGCGTGGATTCATTTGTAGGGGAAGTGATCGGGTCTGTCCTCTGAGGAAGGCCTTTCTGCTTGATTATCTTATAAGATGTCTGGTTAGGGATTTTTAAGAGAGACGAAGCTGTCAACCCGCTCTACCACGGTCCTCAAAACGGTAATGAGGAAAGTGGAAGCGGAAGGGGATGCCCCTGCAGTTAATGTCTAACGTGTGATTTATTTGTTTATTCATTTCATCCAGGTTTTATTAATTTATTTTTCCCCTCGTCCCGTGAGCTCGCATAGCATCTATGTTTTATGCCTCAGAGATGTGTGATGACACATGCAGGGGCCGGGAGTAAATAGGGGCTCGCATTAAATCATCTTAGATTTATTCACAGGCCGGTTTTGTGGCTGCAACACACACACATACACACACACATACACACATAGGACACCACAGTAAGTGGTTCTTTCCCAACAGAGCTAAACAAGGCCAACAGTCTGCAGTTATGGACAGTAAATAGAGCAGAACATTACCTGTAAATAACCAACAACAAAGGCTCATAAATCCTAGCTTCATGTGTTTTCTCGGACACACGCGCGAGTTTCGTGAACTACATGAGCAGGACTTTTTTAATCTTCGCTGTCCTCGTGTCTTTGTCAACATTAATCAACACGTGTCCACCGCTCTTGTGTGTGTGTGTGTGTGTTAGACCTGGCCTTAGTATTAACCAGGAAGACTTGACTTCTCGCTAACCTTTCCGCTTCTCCCCTTCCCGCCGCCTGCCCATCGCGGGGTCAGGTGGGCATGTGTGCGCACGGTGGACACTGGCATCCTTCCCGGTAACCCGATCAAGGTGGGATTTTCCTACCGACACAGAAAATCACAGGGGCTGGCCACAAGTCGGCCAAACGGGCTTAAAATAACATCGCCCGTTGACACAGGATATTCGCTGGTGTGGGGGGTGTCTCACGTAGAGAAAATTGCACAGAGTTTTCTGTGTTTGGGTGGGACAGCTCAGAAACATTTGCAGCACACAAGGTCAAGGAAGAATCAGACGGTTGTAAAACAAAAAACAAACAAAAAAACAGTGTTCTGTATTGTTAAGTTTAACGTTTCAGCTGTTACGTGTCCTTGAGGCTAAAAAATTAGGGCTACAAGAGATCCATTAATGAGGGTTATTTCAATTAAGTTAGAGATTTCAAAGGTTGTTTAGGATTAATATTAGCAAAGTGCATGTGATTATCAGTTATAATGACCAAATCAACAAAACACTCTTGTATGATTAAAAAATATGCCGAGTAAAAAATACATTAGCTCTCAAAATTAGCCCAGATGAGCTACTGAGTTCCGCCTTCACAGCAGTGGTCAGTGGTTGCTGACCGGTTAGTGTTTTAACTTTAGCTTCTCAGAGTTGGTCCACAGTGCTCTATGCTCAGTGACGAGCAGCTGGCTCTTAAAAAAATAATTCACAGTGTTGAGTACCTCCAGTAAAGGGAGCTACTACGGACCTGTAAGAACTACAGGACAAGAATGCTAACCTGGCTCGTCAACGCAGAAATAAATTTGATCCTGTGTTGGCTTTGCTCAAAAGAAATCCTATTATTCTACTGCACCTTTAAGCAGATCCCCTAAATTTTGAAGATTCCAGTCCTTGATGGAGATGCATCTCTTACAATAAAAGCAGGGAAGTTAGCAACTTGTCAGGTAGAAAACATGGTTTGCTGTTCACAGTGCAGTTTTCTGGGCAGTTTTGGCTTCTGCTCACCTCAAATATGCACTCCACTCTAGGATCCTCCGTATCATAGAACTCTGCTTTTTTTAAATCCCCTGTGAAATTCCGAAAACGGGCATGCAGTCTGTGCCTGTATAAAAAAAAAGGAAGAAGAAAACACAGGGAAGAAATCGAAGGCCAGGTCTCGAGCGTTCCCCCTCTCGCCGTCCTATCATTTTCTCGTTGCATGACTTATCGGGGGTTGATGGCCACCGAACTGGCTCGGCAGGGTTGCTATGGTGACGCGGCGAGAAAGGATAGAGGACCTGAGGCTGGCGAGACAGCGGTGTTTATCACCTGCTGGGGGGGGATGCAGCGTCACACCTGGTGAGGTGACCACCCATATGTGACAGGGTGAACCAGGAAGTAGGAAGTTTGGGGGGCGGAGCTTAGCTTTTAAAAGCCAGAGGGAGGCAAATCTGGGCCTTTCACTCCACATGGGTGCAGAGGGCAACTGGCAGCCATACTGGAGCTGTTAAGCCAAATCTGGGTTTGGTGCGCAGACAAAAAGGTAAATGGATACACTATGTTTGTCATAAAAGCAGTGCGGCCAAAAATGACCATATCCTTTTACGTCCAAGTAATAGTTACAGTCATCAGTCCTACTTGATGAAAGGTCCTATCACCTGCTGGCCTCTAAAACTAGGAGAGTTCTTGTTTGGGATGTTAATAAAGGTAACTTACTTAAGATAGTAATTTGAATAATAAAATGATCGTCATATTGATTGTGGAATGTATGTGTCTTTTGGTGATGATCTGGATGCTACTGAGCCGCAACCCACTGTTTTTTCTCTTTTTGTTAAGGTTTAAGCTGTACATTAGTTGTTTGGGCCTGTATAGAATTTTTGGACTGTGTCAAATCGGATTGACTTGGGGCACCTTTGCATGTTTTGTTTTGTTTTTATTTGGGCTTTGTTTGGCCATGCCATTTTGATTTTATTTGTGTTTTCTAAGCTGCATATTTATTATTATTTGCACTACTCCAGGTCAGTCAAGTGTACGCTTGTCCTGTTTTGAATACAGCCCATCGATTAAGTGTTTTGCCACGTTATATTTTTAAGATTTCAGAACAACGAATAATGATGCTTTTATATTTTTGTAAATAAACATTGTACTACTAATTAAGTCTCTTTATACTCTATTTTACACTTGGTCACACATATGTGTTCGATCGAGCACTCACAAGGAGAGTCAGTATGAGTAAGAGTTTTTCGAATGTCATTGCTTACACTTGTGGCTTCTGGCTTTTGAAAATGAGCCGCTTCTAGACGTTTCTAATGACGAGAAAGGCCGGCAAACAGCCGAGTGGAAAAGTGTCGGTGCTTTGGTGAAGAAAATCATGCTTCATTCTTCTCTTGTTCCTGCTACATCCTCCATCGTGACTCCCAACTTGTTCAGTTTACCCAAAAGTGACATCACACTGTAAACATCACCAAGTAAAGAAATAGGTTGAACTTATTCCTCTCTTTTCCACTATCTTCTCCATTTCTTTGTATTTGTCATATGACTCCTCTCTGTGTCATATGAACAGGCAACGCCATGGTTTTGCTGTTTGGTTTTTAGACTTTCTGGGTTTTCTCTTTTCTGTTTATTAGTTTGCCCCTAAAGGCATCTCTGGTGCTGTATTTAAGGTTGCCAGGTTCACCTGCGCAGGGCCAGATAATTTGATCCTTTGTCTTTAAAAGTTCTCCCGTATGATTTTTTTTCTAAGCAGTTTCGTGCTACCTCTTTTGTGTTCTGATGTTTTTTTCCGGACTGCTGTTTCCTTTTGAAAGAGTTTTCATCGGTGCTCACAGCAGAGATTGGTGCGGTAACCTTTTTACCCTTCCCCTGCAGGGCAGTGTATTTTGTTGGTGGATTTTTTTTTTTGCTGTGCCCTTTTCTGCAGTTGATATTTTTCTGGGCTACTTTTTCATATATTTTTACAGTGGCTTTTCGGTAAAGTGAAGATTCTGTTTCTGCCAGTGGATCCTTCTACCGTGGACCAAAATATATGTGTCAAAACCGGTTGCATGCATAGCAAACATTTTTCAATTAAAGAATTTGAAGTCGCACAAAAGATACCATCCCATCCTGTCACTTTCAGGTCCAGTGATACTACTTCAGGCTCATCCCTGTTGAAACAATTCTTGAAACAAAGCTTTGCCCACACGTTGGGACTATTTAGACAAATCTTGTCCAGCCTATGAAAGGCATGGCTTAAAGGAGCCATCCCACCAAGGAAACTTTACTTTATTCTTTACTTTGAGAAGCACTTACAATATTTTTTTCAAATATTGTAAAAGGTTTTGGGTGAATTTCTAGAATGGCTTGCATCGTCATCCTTTTTGTTTTACATGACTTTTTGATATAATCAGGTTGATTATGTCAAAAAGTCGCTCGATTATATACATTAAGGAATTAGGCAAAAACTTTTTTTGCTTTGATTTTTATAGGATCCAGATTCAGGTCTTTAAAGACTTTTGTCCCACCAGAAAAATAGAAATCCAATTCAGACATCAGCAAAATTGTCATTAGGAGGTAAAGTGTGTTTTTTTTGCTAATATCAGTTTCCTGTTCTGTTGCCACGTCTTTTGTGATGCTAAACTCAACCCACGTGTCCCATCAAGACATTGTGCTCACACATATGTCATTGGCATGAGATGAAAGCTACAATTTTACTGTATGTGCTTTTCACAAAGGTGATCGCATCACTGTGCAAATTTTTCATTCGCATTATGCATGCCTGTCACCCTGCTGTTACCCAGAGCAAAGGTTAGAGGAGAGCAATTTATACATTTAATTATTCATTATCTCTCACAATATGCTGCATGATAATACCCTAAGTGCACTTCTCAGTCCCGTGCTTTTATGAGATTATTCAGCCCAAACTCATGTTTGTTCACAGCAAAGGTGCTCATACCAACTCCCCATTTTCTCCTCATTAATCTTTTAAATGTTCAAACATGTAAGTAAGACATGTATGGGAGATGATTTTAATCTGTCATGGTCAGTTACTGCAGCATAAGTCCTTAAAATGAAAAAAAATATCTTCAAAGCTCAAAATGCATCTTCAGAATCAATCTAATTTATATTTTTGCTGTTGTTCAGGTAGATTAAGGAGTGCAGCACTCTGGCTCTTTTTCGGTACACTAATGGCTCATTTGATTTATGATTTGCCTCTGAAGATTCTAACAAGCGATTCATTTTTACCTAGAAGCTAGAATTTAAATGGTATAATAATTACTTACAGGAATTATAAATCATTGTGTTGCTTTGCATAAAACACTGTTGGGTAAAACGGCATCTTTATAAGATAGTCTTTTCTTCAAACCAAATCAGATAGGAAATATTACATGCTGCTCTTTTTTAGCTAATCTTTTGTCAGTCGTTTGAACCTCACTTTAAATTAAAACATTGAAATGGAATTTATTTTATATAAATAAATCCCACTTATTTGTCGATACTGTGGCTTATTATGTACCCCACACTGCACATCACACTTGAGTTTCATTGTATTTCGCTTCAGCTTTTTTTTCTTTATAAAGTTAATAGACTGGTCTCTAGCATCTGATGAATTATTGACAGCCCAAACTCAACAGCCACTAGTGTTGACAGACCAGTTTTGTGAACTATCAGAGGGAAGAAAAACCCATTTTACTTTTAAATTAGTTTGCACAGAAACTAATTTCTATGCTGCACATGTTAAGTGATAGAATCCGAATTAAAATCATTTTGTCTTTCATGTTATGTTATGTTATTTTATGTCTTCTACATGTATGTACTTACATTTTGATTGAAAAAGTATGGATTTGTTCTTTCTAAATTGAAATGAGATTAGCTTGTAACACTCCTTTCAATGCAGTGTTGCAACACCCAGAGCGACGATTCCAAGATTAACTGGCGCTTGAAGCTTCTGCTCTGTCAGATTTTAACGTTTAAAGCAAATGTCTGATGTCTTAAGGAAAATAAAATTGCTTGTTTACCTTCATACCGACACATGAATTAATTTAGCAACTTAAATATAGCATTTATTCTGATTTCTAAGGACCCTCCTTAGACCTGGAATGATTAGATTTTTTTGTGTGATTCACTCACAAATAGACAAAAAAAACAGAGTTGTAATAGCACAATGGATGATTGATCCGAACCACTTCTGGGAACACACTGAGGGTGTGTATAAGGACCCTCACAAACAAAACTGACAATTGGCCACTGAGCTTGTCTGGTCTGTTGTGTCTCTCTTTAAATTTTGAAGAGTCCGTACCATTGCTATTGTCGGAGTCCGTTGATATTTTTAAGTAAATGATACCCAGTGGCAGAAAACCTTTGAATTGAGTCTGACCTAGGAGATATTTGAGTCAACTGCTGTTTCCAGTTCGAGCTGGCAAACAATAAAGTCATGTGACTGACATCTTTTGAGACATAATACACCTAGAGGTGTGTCTCAGGAGTAAAGAGCGGTCAATTGTTGGGCTCCATGTTCTTCCAATGTCTGAAAAAATGTCTGAGACTCAACAAATGTTCTGTCCTTGCAGCTCATGGGTACACAACTTGTTATATTCATCATAGTCCACATTACTGATGGTTATAATAATAATGGTTTCCAGAACTCCATTATAACCATAGTGATGCATGTCCTTTTTAACACAGAGACACAATTCTTTCAAGATTTATTAATGTGGGTTCCATTGAAGACCTGCTGGATTAAAAGTCATTGAATTTTTACAGGTGAATCTAATAAGGCCCGTACCCTTAGGCGCGCTGGGAAAAAGATTATACTATCGGGTTTATCTTTCAGCCGGCGATTTGCCTAAAAACAATATGTGCAGAGTGTGTGCCTTGATTGAGCGGCAGTCGGCTCCCACAGCAGCCCCGGAGAGACGGGACAGGAATGAAAAGACAACAAGGCAGACGGCCAGGGGACGGAGGAAGAGATTGTGTTCACTTTATCCGCGTTTGCTCAGTTTAGCGTGGGGCAAATATTAGCCTGTGTGCTCAGCGGCCGTTCTTCTCTACTGGGCCTCAACCTCGCACCCGTGCGGAGACTGGAAAAGAGAACGGGGAGAGGATGGAGAATGGCCGAGAGGGGGGACAGTTGGACACTTATCAGGGAGCAGATGGGGGGGGAAAAGAAAAAGGCTGGTAAGAAAAAGATTAACAGACAGCAAATGATGGCAAAGAATAAAGAGCATTTAGAAATATGGCAATCGTAGCTTTCTTCAAGTAGCTGGTGGTCTGCATCAAAACAAACCATCAGAGCGTACTTAGGTAGAGGTCTAAAACTGACGGCAGGATTTGTAATGCTGCACTTAATGGTACAAGTCTGCCACTGGTCATTTGATGGACGTTCAGCATTTATTGGCACTTATTTTCTTGCACTTACTTTTCTGAAAGCTTTTCTTTACCAGGCAAAGGAGAGTGCACTATTTAGCTTTTTCATGCCTTGAACAGTATATAATGTCAATTTGTGTTATTTTGTGGGCAGAATGATACAAAAATAGAAAGAAAACAGATGCCCTATATCTTCGTTGTGGCTCTTATCTGATCTAACAGAAATATATTAAATAAAGATACCACCATGCAACACTTTAATTTTACTGACATGAATATGATTTTTTTTTAATAATTTTTTTATATTGTCCTAATAGAGATAATCCAGATTAGGTTATGGGCAGAGGTGGGACGACACGGAGATATATGAAATTCCAGAAAATGGAGTCTCATATAGAGTCTCATATGCTTTATTGTTCCATTGTCTTTTTCAACATTACTTTTGTTTTGGTCTGGGTTTTTTTTTTTTTTTTGTTTCTGTCTAGGCACCAGAAATAATTGGCTGTGCGTGGAATAAAATTTGAATAAATCTTGTCGTTTTTGACCAGTATAGTAACAGTTTGGTGGAGTTTTGTGTTGACGTTGCAGAGAGACGAAACAAGTGATCTCCTTAGCCACGTTTTGGCTTATTTATTTAGAATATTTTCAAGCAAAATGTGGATTTCTCTTACTAAGAGATCCAAAAACCATAGGTCATGACATAATCACGCCACACACACCAGAGGTAGCTAATAAAATGTTACAGAAAGCAACAATACTTTGAGTAATAGCATCAGTTTAACAGTAATGCATGTGTTATTTCATGTAAATATCCCAGCCTACACAACAATTCATGTTAACCAAGACAGAGTAAAATCTTGTGTTTTTTTGTGGTGCGAATATGTAATCTCCCAACACATTACGTGCATCCCTTACATAAAGTGTAAAAAGGTGGTAGTCATGTTTTGGTAAGACCTGGCTGTGCAGGGCAATTGAAAGGGCAGGGGAAGGGAAGGGACGCTGTGAGGACAGCATGTAGAAATGAGTGAAAAAAGCACAGATATAAAACATTGCTCTTGATTTTGTGCAAAGGTCACAGTCATTTCCTTCAATTTTTAGCCAGCTGCCTGCCTCACTTCGCCTAACCAGAAGAACAGGCTGCACCAGAACACACACACACACTTCTTTGCCATAGCGACACACAAAAAAAAGAGGAAAAAGCTAGTCATTTCCGGTTCACTTTTTTCAATAATGCACATTCAAGTGTGACAAATAGTATGAGTGTGCTGTCAATGAAAAGAGGAGTCGCCATCTCACAGCCGTACAGAAGTCTATTTACCAAACAGATCAGGCACATCTCACACTCAGACCTCATTGAAATGCCACTTTTCTGGATTGTCATTAACATAATGTGACATTGTTGAGGAGATAAACCCTTATTCTCCAACGAGAGGTTCAACCTTGGCAATAGTAGGTATTTAATTCCATTTACATCACAGTGACATAAGGCAGTAAAAAGAAATGATATATTATATCACATATGATGTATATGATATGATGTTAAATACCTCCAGATGTGGGTGGGAAGCTGTGCAATGTTAGATTTTTTTTTATGAAGTGGAATTTAATTTAGCATTTAGGGTTTTTGAAAAAATCAGAAAGAGCATCTCAGCTATTTCCTTACAGCCATTTCATTCTATCTGTAATATCATGTTTAATTTGCTACCAGTGATAAAGTGATAATGATTCATTCACGCTTTTGTAAATCTGCTGGCCTCGTTACAGCAACAAATAAGATAGACTATACCGAGCCACCAAATTAACCCATACAATGTCAGAAAGGATTATTATTGTGCAAAGCCTCAGAAAAGATCATCAAAAACCCAGTGTATGCACAATATTCAAGGACTCGACTATCTCATTTCACAGTTTACTGACTAGATTTACGCTCCCAGGCAGGAATAATCTACAAACCTATTTGTTTTTGGAGTTGATGCGGCCATCTCCATCAGCCGTAGAGCTGCCTGGGTATCACGTCTTTCCCCCAAATCATTCACAAGAGCTTTTGGATTCAATTGGATTCTACCAAAGTGACTCCAGTCAACCAAGAGTCTCTGAGGAGGGGGGAGCTGAAGATGAAAGCAGACAGATTTAAAAAAGTACAAATGAAAGATGTTATATCAGAGGACATGTTAAGGTGAGGGAGAGGTCTTTCTTTGTCAAAGAAAGTAAGTATTATTTTGAAATCTTTTGTGTTCTGATGGATAGAAAATCCATTTTGAAAAAAACATTATGCAGAAATTCAAGAATCCAGTTATTTTATAAAATAATGGGTCTCCTGCTGTTGGTGTGCTTTGTTCCTTGGAAAGTTACCTGTGTGTTTTATATTTTTTGGGACGGGGATTGGCAAATGCAGGGATTGTGTTAGAATCTACTGAATAATTGAGGACAGCTGGACGAGGTCCATAGGTTAATAAGAGGAAAAAGAGAAAAAAACACCCCACAGCATGGGAAACTTCGTGGCATTGTAAGCTTCTTTGTCTCACATTAAGGTCTAAGGATTGACAAATATCAATAGCTGTCTGGACCAACCTGGCAAAGCATGAACTGTGGGTGGACAAGCATCGATTTCCATTGGTAACCAAGTAACAAAGATCCTTTCCTTGCTTTTCCAAAAATAAATCTCCCCACAGGTCCATAGCTGTGGTTCTCAGACTTTATCTCCCTTTTTTCCCACCTAAGTTTTTTTTTCCTCTTCTGATCGTTCTTTTGTTATAGCCTTTCTTTGTGTCTTTTTCATCATTCCACCTTTGTCTATCAGCTATCACTTCAATCCTCTGTCTGAGACACTGACATAAAAACATCTTTACTTCAGGCTTCATTTGGGAATCTTGATAACTTTGAACAGTCTGAGCACATATCTTGATACCAGTGTATTTTTAGAATGGTGAGTATATTTCAGCAAATGGCTGGCTAGCCTCCACAGATGTAAGTTTAGAAATGACAAACTCACAGTGCTTTTCTTCAGCCAGATGGTCAGAGAAGTTCGTACATACATATATATATATATGTATGACTTCAGTCATAGACTGTGACAATCAATACAAGCAATGCTATAAGTATGATATATTCTCCTGAAGAATGGATGTGACTACAGTTCCATAATGTCTCGATTTTTAAGGACAGCATTCAGATTTAATTTTCCATCTCAGTGACCTGTCCTCATTCTTCTTCCAAAGGAAGTTTTTCCTTGCCTGTGTCGCCTAGTGCTTGCTTCTGGTGGGAACTGTTGGGCTTCTGTAAATAACTTCAAAGTACGGTCTGACCTGCTTTGGAAAACGCTATGAGATAACTGTTTTTGAGATTTGGCGCTATATGAATAACATTGAATTGAATTGAATGCAGTACAGCATATATGAAATTCTGCAAGAGAGACCTCCTATGAAAGTAGGGTCTAATATCTCATTTATATTGTGCTTCTTAAGCACCTTAGAAAATAGCTGCTTAATTTTGGGCAAGATTCAAAATGTACTAGTAGGGGACAGATATTTTTTGTTTTTTATTCTGTATTTCAGGAGTTGTGGCATGGGAAAATAGTGCATTTTACAACGATTTACAACCACAAGCAGTTGTCAAGGAAGATAAAAGGCACATGTGTCCTTTGGCAACAGTGTTTTCTGGCACTTCTTAGTTGACGTAATTCCCAATCAACTCAGCATTATAATTTTGGAAAGTCATTTTGTTTATATTTTTTTTAAAAATATTTAATGAGTTCCAAGTTGAGACCATGCCCTTATCATCCTGCTTTGCAGTTTACTGCCCCCCAACATAATATCACACTCCCTACTCCGCTCATTTAACACAATGTTTCTGCACTGTGTTTGCAATTTGTTACCTCCCAAGTGGCAGAAAATCACTTAATACCTCCATAAGCAGAATCTCAGACCTTAATCAATATACAAATGTCAATGGAATCACTGCACTCAGTGGATTTCTCTTTTATTACATGATCGAGTGGAAGACACATAAAAGATATCATATAAGAAATCATCACTGTACTACCTACAATCTCAAGCGTCACATCTTCACTTATTTGCTTAGGCTAACAAACTGACCATGGGATTAGTTTGAACCTATTGTGGATTTCAGTGTGTACTTATGAGTGTGTTCATGTCTGTGTATGCATCCAGCAACGTTTTAAACAATGTTGTGTGGCCAACTTTAGCCTAACCCCAACAAGGACAATTCTGTTAGCATAGAACAGTGTGTGTGCGTGTAGATCTGCCTGTATGTGTTAAAAGTGAAAGCGGGGAGCTTTCAGGAGGGCGTCTGACTTACAGGTCTGATGGTCATTGTGCTGGAGGACACCATCCATCAACAGACCCATTGGTAAACATCATGGAATCAGCTCAGTGTCTATTGTATGTGCTCTTTTTCCACTACAAGATATTGGAATAATACTAATTTTGGCACAAGCTTATGACAGAAATATGTAGAGAACGGCATTTTTGGCTGATTTGTGTTTCCCTCGTTCGTGAGCGCAGACTTTGCCTCCTTTTGCAGCACTTTGGCTGTCTGCCGGGTTGTGTGTGTGTTCTCCAGGACAAATAGGCGAGCCCAGCGTGAGTCATGCCGCGATGGGAGATTCGGATTCAGACGCGCGCGCAGACACACAAACAAACAAACACGCAAACGCACGTTCGCACACCCACACCGCATTAGTCTATCTCATTGATTTTTCAATGAGATCTGATTCACCATTAGATGCAACGGATGACCACGGCCGCTGAAAAGAGGCGAAGAAGAGGAGGAGCTGAAGTGAGGGAGGGAAAGTGGGAAGGGGAGGATAAAGTGCTATTAAGATGAAGAGATGTGTGGAGGGGGGGAGTGGGGGGGGGGGCGGTGGGGTGCTCAAGGTGACTGCTGGAGATCACAGCAAACACATACAAATGAGTTGGCAGAGAGAAGGTGTGCTGGACGAAACCAACCATATCCTCCCTGCAAAATGGCAGCCCTCCACCACCGACCGGATCAAAAAATGACACACATGTAGTTCCGTCTATAACAGCTCTTGAGGCACCTGATAGATTAGATGAGATGAGAGGGGGCAGACGTGAAGTCCGAGCTCCTGGTGACAGCACGCTGGCTCCAAATTCTTACCGGCCCCTTTGGGTTTTCCTCTTTCTGACAGTCCCAAGATGCACATTCGGAGATTTAGCTAGCAAAAAAGTCTGCATGTTATGCAACCACCTATTTTCTCCTTTTTTTTTTTTTTTTCTTACATAACGCTGCAGTTTCTGAGTGGAAGATTAGCCCCACTGTACTGTTCTTCTTGTAGCAGATGCCACAGCCGATCACCACTAGCAGCCATTACGCATACATTTTGACATGCCGATTACCCGTACCGAGCCAAAATTACCCTCAAAGGCGAGATCCAAAGATATCCGATGACGGTATATCAGCTCTGCTGCAGAAGCCAGCGGCATAAAAAGAGTTACCAGTATTCATCTGTGACTCCAAATAGCCCCATGCATTTTAACAGTAATGCGCACATTTGATCTATAAGTTCTAAAGCCTTACTCATCCCGGAAGTCTGCCTGAAATATTAAGTCGGCCCACACAACAGGGAAGCGTCGGATGCATGTGTGGATCAGGATAAGAACCGATTGCTTTTCATTGAGCATCCTGTAAAAATCTATTTATCAGTCGTTTCACTGTTCACCCTGCTCCATTGGCTGATTCATAAGCTCATAAATATTGCAGCTCTGCATCTTACGCTCGCGTGTCAAGTTAGGCTCAAGTAGATACAGGCTGTGATAGATCATTATTGGGGAAATGAGAAAGAAGCTGATGAATAGTTTGCATTTCCACCACCCACGGGACTGTTAATATGAAATCTGTCAAACCGAATTATTGGCATCAGCAAATTCCTTCCTGATCAGCCCCTTTTCCGGACAGTTTCTTGAGGTCCGTTGATACAGCAGAATGCAAAATACCTCGAGTGATTTAAACAGCTTTAGCTGTCTCGAACGGGGTCTTGCTGAATCCACGTTTCTGTTGTTTTTTACCTCCTAATTCACTTGTTTGGTATGCGTCTACCAGACTTGAAGGGAATGCAGAAAGACTGAGGAAATACAGCTACACAGAATGAGATATAGTGTAGAGTATGTAAGGGACGATGCGACTGAGCTGTCAGTTTCGGAATGAAGCAAAGACACAAATCCTCAACTGGCTTTCTATTCCCCCAATGCCCCTCTGTCCTTAACTCATTGGCTGCCAAAGACGTCTATAGACGTCAATTCAAATACAACCGTTGACTGCCAAAGACGTCTATAGACGTCTTTTATGTTTTTCAACGCGAGTGGCTTGGGGGACGATCTGCTAAAGCTTGTCCGTAAATATTGGCTTCTAGACAGAGTATGTACTAACAAATTGACCCTCTAGGTGGCAGTGCCACTTTTGTTAAGAAAAACGTAATGGTTCGCTATGTGAGAAATGGCGCCGGTGAGACGCAAGTTGAGGAAGAACGGAATAAGGTAGAAACAATTTTTTTTTCCTGATGTAAGAAGAGAGTCTACTGTGTTCGGTGTTTACATAGTCATAGCACAAACTATTCTGTGGCTCTTAAAAAATCAGTCAAAATGCAAAAAAAACTCTGGCAGTATGGGACTCTCTGTTCTGAAAATGGCTGGCAGTCAATGAGTTAATTGACTTCCAGTAAGCTGAAAAGAAACAATGAGATCTTGACGTTTTCAGAGGGGAGCTTTGATCTCAAAGCACCTTAAGGCCCCAGAGGATCGTCGAGGTTCGTCTTGTCCTTGTATCGCCCGGTGTCTCCCTCTGCCCCTTGCTCCCGCTCCTTCTCCCTTTTCTCTGCCTTTTCAGCCCCGAGATGATCAACTAGAGCTCTCCGAAGCTGCCAGATAACCCCTTATACACACAGACGAAGTGGAGGCTCTGCCTCATTCTCATTCCCATCTCGACAGCTGCTTTTACCTCGACAAACGCTCTCACACCGCAAGGTCATGTTGAAATATTTTTGGGACGGAAACGCTCTCGTATTCCGGCACGGCTCTTTCTCCGCCGCGGCTGCCACACAGAATTCGAAAGCCAATTTTCTCTGTCTTTGAGAAAATGGAAGGAGAAACGCAGAGAGGATTACTAGAAACTTTTCATTTGATTCCCCTCTTTTTTTTTTACTAGCTAAACCGTATGAACTTTTATGCTGGAGAATGGCAGCAGTTTCTTTTCTGCAAAGACATTTAATGACGACGGAACACTTGTGTTAAAATAATTTCTATAATCCTCACTTTTTTTCTCGGTGAAGCTCAGTGCAACAACGTTATATATCATTTTGGCTCAAGTTACAACTCATTTTAGTCTGCAAACATTTTTCCAGGCTTTGCCATTTGTAGATTTTCTTCAATTTTTCTTTACCAACGAGTTTAAAACTTCCTTAGGCTCTTGAAACTGGAATTGGATACAATTCTAACTGAACCTATGCCTCTTATTTTTCCAACAAAGAAAAGCTTGACAAGCTACCCTCTAAGAAAGAGGAGAAACATTTACAATCTGACACTGGCCGACAACAGCAGCAGATTAAGGACAGCTAAGCAGTAGTTGAGAAGCAGTGGTGTTTAAAGACCAGTCAGGGATTATTTAACTTACCTTGCAGTCCTTTCATTTCAATGTTGCAGGCTTGACTGCACCCAGTCATTCAGAGCTTTTTTTTCCCCCCATCCTGTTTCCAGAGATATGTTCGCTTAAGAGAAATGGCCATTAAAATGTCATTACTGCTCCACTAAAATCATTTTTAAGAAAGCTCTGGTTCCCTGCGGCTTCCCACTGTAATGGGCTCGATACAATCCCTCAGTTCAGAGAAGAAGAACCCTAATGTTGCGGAACACAAATGCTAATCTCTCTGTAAATATCGCTAAAATTCCCTCCTTCCCTCTGCTTTTCAGTCCTAATAGCACGGATTGATTCTGCTCTGCCCAGGCAAATTGAATTAATTCTCCGAGCAAAAAGGTGTTGCGATTATTCTAAGCTTGCTTAGTGTGTGGGACGTCGAAGAGATGATCCCGACATTTCCATCCAGAGATGTTTCACTAAGGCTCTCTCCATTTTGTTTCTCATAATGCAGCATCTCGAAAGGAAACAATAATCTTAGCTTTGATTAACTTCTCATTCTTGTGCGCCTTTTCACTCGCTCCCTGACAGTTTTCATGTTGAAGCCTCACAGTCTGTATTGGATTTCAGCGTGCATGGGGAGAGCAGTTGGAAAGACTTGTGAGGGCTTCTACATAACACGAATCACTTCATTAGGTGTCTGAGAAGGTGGAAGCGCCTCGCTGTTTGAGCCGCTTTTCAGAACGAGATCGTTTCTTTAGAAGTCTGTCGGGCAAAGCTGTGGGCAGCTCATCCGGAATTTCTCATGGGGATGAATTTTTAGCAGTGTTTTTCCCCCGGACTTCCGCGTAAAATCGTTTTTTTTTGTTTATTTTCCACCTTCTTACACTGTGTCTGAGCAGTTGATCTCTATAGTGCATTAATCACATCAGCCGGCGCAGACTTGTGAACATGCTCTATTAATAGTCTAATCAGGGCCGTTATCCACTCACGGCCTTATTGTGTCCTTGGCTGAACGCCGTTCGCTTGATACGGCGCCAAAGAGCACATACATCGGGCCGATTATACTCGTCATTAACTTACCACACAACCTCTGCTCTTATTTACTTAATTAACTTGTAATTTTCAGTTCTGTTAACATTACTGGGTTGCGTTTTCATTTTTAAAATATTTAATCATCCATGAATAATGGAAAATCGCTGCGAGGAAAAAGCCTCACATTCATTCACGTCTGAGTTTTCCCGGCTTATGGGAAGTGGATAAAACGAATGCGCATAGCTAATGAGATAATGGAATTGATGGAGAGTTTGCTTCCGAGGGCAACGGTGACCCAGTCTGCGAATAAGCTCAACCTGTACCGACGATCGGGAAGTGTTCCTGTCTTTTTTCCAGAGTTTTCAAGCTGAGCGGGACAAAACAGAGGCAGAGGATTTACAACTAGACGCACAATGTGTCCATGACGGAGCTGTCTGGTACGCGCTCTGTCCTGTGGCTGTGGTAGACTGTAACTCTGTAAATGGCTTCGACCTTTCCTGGGACTGAGGACGAAAACCAAAGAGACAGAGAGAGAGAGACAGAGAGAAAGAGTGGCCAGATAGGAGTGGGCGGCTGACTGTAATAAACTGGAATCAGTGGGCGGCTGTCAACACTAATAGATTGGAGATGGGAGGGGGGTCACCTGGTGGATGAATACTAAAGGTTTTTGAGTCCTCCATAACTGCCCTCGTCTTTATCGGACCGATGCGTGTGAAATGTGATGCTCAACATCTTCAGACTAGAGAAAGAGAAAGGATTCTTGTTGACAGAAGACACATACAGGACAAGAAAGCCACAACCTCACAGTACAGTGTTCACAGTACGATTAAATTTGACTTGATTTCAAAGCAACAAAGTGAATATGAGGAGATCATTTTTAATGAGGGGTGCCTCATTAGTTAATGCATTAATTGTAAATGCATATGGAGAAACGTTCACTCGGATTTAGTAGTCTGTTACGTCATTTGTACATTTTCAGACACTTCCTGAATGCCTTTCCAAAAGCGAAAGTGTACATATAAAGTCTGTCACCAGCAAAGAAAAGCAACTCCCATATTTAATCATGTATCGACTCCTTTCCTGTTATTTTTGTTTTTTTAATCTCAGAAACATTTCCTTTTTTGGGGGTGGGTGGTGGGAAAAGGAGTGTTCCCTTGCCAGGACCTTTCACTATGCTCGCAATTATTGTTTTTACTATTACATGTGGTCAACGAGGTGGCGGTTTGTTTGCTTGCCCTTGCCAGCCCCCACTTTTGCTTCCATTAGCTCAAAGGCATAGAGGACACTTTGTCTTCTTATTTCCCATCTAGCGAGATAAAGAGGTATTACAGGAAAATCTTTACGTTTCAAATCTCGTTTCGAAAGTCTGACAAAGGTTAAGACGCACTCACAACCTAATAGAAAATATGAAAGTCCATTGAAATATGGTTGGGCTGTGAATGTTTCTATGCCATCTTTACAAATCGTCAAACAACCTTGTTAGTTCATGAACAAAATCGACTAAAAGACAGAAATTATATTGCACAATTGTGGCATCTTAATGAGCACTTAAAGAGATCAGCAGATTACAATAGAAATTCAAACTGCATTTCTTATTATACCTTCCCATACCTAACATGCTATTACTATATAATACTAACTTTCTGACATATGGGTCACCACGCTATATCGTGACACAACTTTTCCATTTAAATTTATATTTGCAAGGATGCTATTTGGCTAAAAACATCAGACATGAATGGGATTATAAAGAATCCTAAACAATAGATAGTATTTTAAACTTTTGGGATGTTTTTTATAGGTGAATTTTATAGGTGAGTCATTTTTTGTCTGTTCACTCTTCTTACGTACTTTTCTATAATCTGCTTGTAGGAACGGGGAAGGATCGGTGTGATCTTCAACGTGGGAACGGACGACATCTCCATCGAGGAGAGCGCGGTGATGGTCAGCGACGGCAAGTACCATGTGGTGCGATTCACTCGCAGTGGCGGCAACGCCACGCTACAGGTGGACAACCAGCCTGTCATCGAACGCTTCCCCTCAGGTAAGAACAAAAAAACCCTGATCCAGGAACCCAATGATCAGAGTTGGATTAAAACTGACTTATCCGAAAGAACGTATAGCACAGTGGAGAGAGAAAAAGAAAGAGCTTATGGAAAAAAAAATTAACATTTGTTGCATCAGGTTCCCATTTGATAGTCAAAGTTTGTTTTAATTCCACTTTATTTAGCATCAGCTCAGATGCTGCCTGCATTATACCGGTTGATTAAGTCTGGCTAATATTCTGCTGGCAGGAAAAAATATGAAAGACCCTTCCTAAGGCAGGCGATCTCTTATTTAAAAGCTTCTTTCTCTCAGCAGTTAGACTACAACTGTAGCCCCTGGCACCAGCACAGAGGAGCTCATCTGAATAAGAACATGGCAGCCAGGTATATCCGGTGAACAGGTTTTTTTTTTTTTTCTAAGTCACGATACGTAAAAGCAACATATCATTACGCACACGGACTTAAAACGAGGGCAAACACCAGATGAGTCACTGCTGAGAGTGTTGCTACTTCAACCGCGTGTTGTTTAACTATAATCGCGATATTCTATTTCCGCCTGAATTTTCGGGCTATTATTTGCCATACAGAAGCTCGCACTGCATTTCTCTCTCCACTGTATCTCACCCTTTAGACATGGTTGTTCAAAGGAAGATGTATTTTTAGTTTTCATACCCCGAATACCAGACTGAAGCTCGACTCTTTGGGCTGTAATAACAACAAGCTCTACAAAAGCGAATAACCTGAATACAAAATAAAGTTGTAGTTTTGGGGGTTTTTTTTTAATACCTTCGCTTCAGTTTAAGTCACCTTTCACATCCTTTGTCTAAAAGCGTTGTCATTGTTCAAATACGGCGGGGCAAGTGGCCGTGATATTTACTCTCGTCGACGTACAGTACGGAGCAAAGAGACTGTGACATTCTCTGTCACAGCAGTGGTCCCCGCACTTTGAGGCTTTGTTTTGGCATCGAGGGAAGCATATTCTCCTGCTCATCCATCAGCGGAGCGAGGCCAGACCGAGGGGCATGCATCACAGTCAGAGGAGGAAGCCCCCATCTGACAGTTCACTCTTTTCTGTTGTTATTATGATGGAAATGCGGCCCTTATACACCACAGAAGACACGCCAAAAAAAAGAAGCCCTCGTCTAACAATAGCACAAAGCTCTCAGAAAAAGAACAGCCTGTTAACATTGTCATCATCCAAATCTAGGTTTTGTTTCATCAAGAAACATTAATGCACGGCCCATATTCGATTCCTTTTATTCTCCTTCCCTTCAAACCCTCCCCGTCGTTGTTGTTGTCCTCATCAAATCTGTCTTTCACTTTTTCTTCTGCCGATCAAGAACTGAAGAGCGTTATTTTGTTGTTGTTTGTTGTTGGGGGGGTGGAGCTTGACTGAAGTTTCATGGGAGTGAAGGAAAGGAAACAGAAAAAGCTTTGATTCATTTATGTGAGCCGGATAGACGAAAAACTATTTTTGGGGGCACCGGCTTTGAAGGTTCCAAAGGCAATGTCTGGTTAAACAATAAGAAAGCAAAACCTCGGATGGAGCTTCAGCACAAAGGGGTGGAGGGAGTACGTGAGGGGGAGTCGGCGAGTGGGGGATTGGAACTTGAAAACTGATAAATGAAGTGTTTAAGCAAACTGAGTGTGCTTCAGTTTTATAGAAAAGAGACAAAAACAATGGGGCTGTTTTGCTGAAACGAGTAAAGGATTCTCTTGAGCGCAACAAAACACCTTATCTAACTCACACTAATGGGAGGTTAATGTATTCAGAGACATTTCACCGCCTTAATGCAGTATTAATGCAGTTTTGCTCAGCAGATCTCTGAAATCATCTTAAAATGGTCCTTGTAGATAGATTTAGAGAACTACAGCGCAAGTACTGTAGACCTAAAATATGCTTCCAATGGGGGTTTTAACTGAAACAGGTACCAATTTTGGAAAGTCCCTCCAACAAAACAAGCAAGCGCAGTTTCCTGTGAAATCTCCTCCCCGACGGGATTGTTGTGACCCACATCACGCAGTCTCATTGGGATGTTTTGAGCTTTTGTAATACTTTCTGCATACAATGAGCTACACGCAGGATTTCTTGTCTCCCAAACCATGGCCGAAGCATAGTAAATATACACCCAGAGGATGAAGAAGAGAAAGACAAGGACGATCAGAGATGAAAAATGTATTTTTTTTGTTCCCAAAAAAGTAAGACAGGTCGTCTTTCTGAATCTTTTTGGTGTAAAATTCACTGTACACAAAGCTTCACTCTAAATTAGACTCGGGAGGGTTTGCAATGAGTTATTCACAAAGCCCGCAGTGGTCTTATAAACAGCGGGCAAATTGAAAGCCGATGATTCGGAGGGACAAGATGTTGACAGCGAAACGTGGTCGTTACAGGTCAAGCACATTCAACGGCCATCTGACGTCCCACAAAGTGATGTTTAAAGTCCCGGGGGAGGTCGTCCGCGAGCGTTGTGGTCCATGTCTGATTCTACGTGTGACAGTTCATGTGTCCGTCTGCATATGTCACACAGTGCGTGTGTGTGTGTATGTGTGTGTGTCGCGCTTTTTGGGTGTTTTTGTGTCTGTGTGTATGCGTGTGTGTGCGCTTGATGGGCAAAGAGCAGACAAAAAGTGTCAGAGGCGCTCTTAGCCAGCTAATCCTGGATGTCAGGTGTCTCCGGTGGGGCCTTCCAGCAACAGCTACTGGCACATCCCACATCCCCTTATAGCCCCAAATGGCAGACTGGTTAAATGGTAACACCCCGAGCATCACCTGGCCACAGATATACGGGCAGACGTCTGTTACCCGATTCTTTAATTGGAAACCTGAGAATAAGCCAGAGTAGATAAAGACTAAAAATGGACATTTATTGGGTCACTTTGTCTCCTGGGCTGGGCACACCCCTCAAAACGAGGACTGGACACAACCAACTCCTATTGGTTAGTTACCTCTAAGACTAACAGGCCAGGTCGTAATTCATGTTGATGACATTGGAATGTGGTACCAAATGGTGTGTGTTTGTTGACCTACAGACGTGTATCTAATGCAACAAAGGAAGAAATGAGAGAAAGAAAAGAGAGAGGAGAGTCTGTGGTCACAACCAGAGACTTCAACACAAAATATAGTTATAAAAGAAAATAAAACAATCAGTAATTTACATAGATCATGTGATAGCATACAATGCTAAAGTGAGTATTTTCAACCAAATCCTAACATGTCAGTAGCAGTTTAGTGTTAAGGATATAACAGTGTCCAACGTAAGCAAAAAAAGAAATTGCATCTCAAGACTTCTGCATTGTTATTACCTTCACATTAACTTTTTGCAGAAGATTGCCCAAGCCTTCGAAAAGAACAAGTTGCCAAGAAAGAAAAACCTCCACGATTGCAGTTTTATCTAAACTTTTGAGATATTTTAGAAGAAAAACAACAAGAAGTCCTTTCTGCAACGGAAAAGCTTCTGCATTATTCTTTTTTTTCCCTTTCCTTTTTAAACCGTTCAGCACATTAATCAAAGCGAGACCTCAGCTTTTCACAAAAAGTGAAAAAAGCACATGCCTTTCCTTTCAAAAGTGAAGTTGGATTTGTCTGAAATCTTTGGTTTTGACCTGTGCTATTTTCTGGAGCAGCTGACATTAGACAGTGATAAATCAAATTAATTGGGGTTAGCTTAGGAAAATGGATTGAAAAGAGGCTTTCTGGGTGTGTTTTTCTTTTTTTTCTTTTTTTTAACTTTTAGGCTTGTATAGATTTTTTCTGCTTTTAAAACATGCAGAAAAAATCTGAAAAATCCATTTGAAAGTCACAGTCAGTAATCCATAACCCCAGTACTCACAGCAACATTTGAGTTCATTGTTTTTAAAAGCAAGAAGGCAGTGTGTAGCTTTTATTCATCAGACAGTCTTTCTGTAATCGCCTGAATGAAGCATCTATGACAATGTTTGCTTTCCACGCAGCTGCTCATGTCAGCATTCACTGCTGAAGTGATTTCTCAAGAACTTACTTGGTAATCTTCATTTTTTTCCTCCAGTTTTTAGATGAATTGCACATGTGTCACATTTTAGCCCAGCCTGTGATCTCCCACTACAGTATGCTATGCATCAGTACGTGAAATCGATTTTAAATGGTCAGAATTTGCATTTAAAAGCAGATTAATGACATCCCGCAAATGGCATGTTCTTTCATTTTGAATTTTTCAGGGTTTTCTCGCCCTGCACTTTAACTTGTGCTGATCATGACCCTCAGACACAGGGGGGGGAGATCAGTTTCAGTGAATGGACATTAATCCCCTGCTTACAAGAAGCCAGCTGCCCTTTCAGCAGCTGCTCCAGAAACTGACCAGGAGAAAGAGAGAGCTCCAAGGGAGAAAACGATTTTGAGCCGTGGTTCAGAAGAGTGGTGTTATTTTTACCCACACACGTAGGCCTATATAGCCTGTGTGAGCATCACTTTGCATTAACTTTTTCTCTGATTATAGTCTTAAACCACCCAAAAAAAAGATTACTTTAAAGAAAAAAAGACTTTTGTGGAAAGAGGTAACCATTTCCTGTGAGTTCATATCACACTTAGCTTCTGGACTTCGCTTCGGTACCCCTGAGCTTTAGATTATCATTATGGATTTCAAAGCCATAGTTATGCCGTCACAGTCACCGTACATTGGCCGTGATTACTGTTCTTTTCTGCCTCCTAAATTGTGTCATTATGTCCAAGTGTGAGAGCACAGTGATCAGGCTTTCTCCAACACTTAAGACTTCTAACTCACTTGTCCCCTTTTTTACAACTTGCACGTCGAAACTGTGAAGCCGTGGCTTTTGTTTCTGACGGGGCTTGTCGCTGATTAGAATTTTAAAAAGGAAGTGGCGTGGGAGGTGAGAGGTTAATGTGTGGATGGAGTTGGAAAGAGGAAAAGTAAAAGTGCTTAGTGATACTGAATAATGAAGGACTCATGGAAAGGAGGAATGGATAGTGGGAGAGGACAGTTTAGTGAGAGATAAAGGGCTGAAA